GGGGCGGGGGGAGCGGGGCGGGGGGAAGGCCAACACCAGGACCGGGAGAGCAGGAACAGAGGCGGCCACAGGGTGGGGTGGGGCCGCTTTATCTAGGGTGTTGAACCTGTGACGGCCTCACTCACTCCTGGGCAGACACCCCGCAGGAAGGCAGGTGTGCCCCCACGTGCACAGCAGCACTGCCCACAGACGCGCGCACCACGGGGCATCTCCACAGTGGAACAAGCACATGAATAGAGGCGTTTCTGCGACTTCGTCAGAGCCCAGGGAAGAGTTCGTCAGAGCCCAGGGAAGGGACCATGCTACCTGCAAGAACAGCCCTGAATCACAAAACCAGCGTCGGCCAGAAGAAGCCAGGCACACATGAAGGGTCGAGAATAAAGAAACACAACAGCCTTGTTTAGGAACCCGTGCCGCGCTCAGGAGCTCGGAGGTGCGGCCAATGCTCCCGCGTCTGCAGAGTCCCGGGTGGTGCCCTTGGGGGAGGGGAGCGGCTTCGGGGCGGGGCGGGCGTTTCCGGTCTTCACTTGGATGCTGGACGCCTGGGGTTCACTTATGATGAATCATTAGGCTGCACGTTTGCTTTGTGTCCTCTTCTGAGTTCGTTATATTTCACAACAAAAAAGGTTAAAAACAAACAAAAGCAACGACAGCGGGCAGGCAGCAGAGGCACAGCCAGGCCACGCCCTCTCCCGGGACTGAACAGCCTTTTGACAACTGTGCCCTGGCTGTCCCCTTCCTCACGAGGACCTCGGGCCGAACTTTCCGCCCTGGCCTCCGAATGTGGCCCCTCCCTCGCCACTGCCTGCACCCACCCTGCAACCCCCAAACTTCTGTCCTGAGCGACCCTTCTGGGCATCAGCTCCACCACCGCAGGTGCCTGCCAGGCCCTCACTCAAACCCCGGCAGCCGGGCCCTGCTGTGGGTGCCGGTGCGGGCCGGCCAGGTGGGAACGCAGAGGGGGAGCCCCTGCCAGCGGCAGAGTCAGACAGACCTGCAGGACGTGTGGGAGGCGCTGGGCAGGGAGGCTCGGGGCGGCCACTGTGGGGAGGGCAGGAAGCCCCCGGCCCAGGCTGGGGGAGGGGCCGCCCCATCGTGGACTCGCTCCCCAGGCGCCCGCGGAGGACGGTTCTCTTAGGATCTTGAGCCGGCGCCCTTCCCTGGATGCGCGCGCCTTGCCCGGGCCATACAGACCGGCAAAGCGTCCCCACTCCCCACCCACCCCAGGCTGGGGCGGTGTGCTCTTCCTGAGGTGGGTCGAGGCCTGGCCGGGCCTCGGCCTGTGGGTGACGTCCGGGCACCTGGGCACCTGCCCCAGGCGGGCGGGACATCTGTGCTTCATCGCTCGTACCGCGCTTATATGACGTCCACGCTCCACGAGGCAGAGACGGACAAGGAGCCACATCAACATATGAACAAAAGAAGGTCGGGCGATCCGTGCGAAGAAGGAATTAGAGATGAAAACCGCCGAAAGGGGCCGCGGAGGAGGGCGGGGGGAGCGACCGGGCACTGCAGGGGAGGGCTGTGCGAGGTGGGGACAGCCTGGAGGGGAGCTTGGAGAGGGGCTGGGGAGGGTGCCCTCCAGGGGGAGGGGGCTGGGGGCCTTCACGCAGCAGACGCCCCGCGACTCTCAAACCCAATCTGCGGTTTACAGACAGGAGCCGGGAGGGGCAGAGGGGGCGCAGCCCCCACCCCCGCAAACCTGTCAATCTCAGCTTGGTGGCCACGCCCCCGGAAGGCGGAAGGCCGAGGTCTCCCCCTCCTCTCCCGCAGGAGGCCCCTATCCATACGAGCTCCGCCTCTGGGTTCCCTTTAAGCCAAACGTAAGCTCCAACTCCTCTGCATGACGTCCACGTTACATCATCTTGGGTTTCCATGGCAACAGAGACAGGCAGGCAATGACACGTCTTCTTGAAGAAAAGAAGACTTGGGGTCCCAACGGACCCTCTGCGTCTGGCTCCAGGCGCCTTGTTCCAGGCAGAATGCTGGGGTAGGGGCTGGGCTGCATCTGGGAAGCCCCACCCCCCACAAAATTCCTTTCCCCGCCTGAGTCATGCAGACCCTCTGGGCAGGCTGGCTGGGCTCATTCACACGACAGACACATAGCTCCGTGGAATGGGAGGGGTCTTCCCTACTCCTCCCACCGGCCCCCTCCCTCCACCCTGCGCTGTAATTGTGCCTTCGACAGCGGATCAGCTGCTCCCCGCTCGCCGTAGGCTGCTGGGCTGGGATGTGGGGCGGTGAACGTCTCCTCTACGAGGCTTGGGGAGGGGGCACAGGTTGAGCAGTGAGGCTGTGCTGAGGCTGCGATGGGTGGCTGGACGGGAGGGCACGGACCCTTAGCCGAAAGCCCTCAGGAAGCTCGGCTGCAGGTCACGTCACAGACTCGCTTTCACACATACGCCACCCTGGGATGCTGCGTCACTCGGAGGTATGCACCGGCGCCTGCTTGTGCGGGCGGGCACGAGCGTCCTGTGTGCATTGGGCGTGCGTGTGACAACGGAGCGCAGGGGGCCTGCGCGCTTTGCCGAGCCCAGCAAGGCCCCCGCCCCCGCGCTGCCCCTTCCAGGCCCAGCCGCAACGCCCACCCAGGTGCGCTCCCACCAGTTGCCCTGCAGGCCGACGGTGGGTTTGACTGCCGGTTCAAGGGCAGGTGGACTGCAGGCGCCAGCCCAGCCCTGAGAGGCCCAGGCGAGCGGGGCAGGTAGGGGGAGGTGCAGGTCGCCCCCGGCTTCAGCGTCCCAAGTACCAGCCACCTGTGGCTCCGCACCGAGAGCCCGCGGCAGGCGGTTCTGGACAAATGCCCTCTCTCCGCTTCTTGGCCACGTCCCGCCTGCCACGCAGCCTCCCTCACCTCCGCCACCACCGTGCCGTTGCCGGCAGCGCTTCGTGATCTGGTCCGTCGGAAGCCCCTTCTGCCTCCCCCACCCCCTCAGGTAGAGCTGAACCAGTCCTGGAACTGGCACCCCTTCCCCACCTCGGGACGCCCATCTCCCACTGGCTCTCTCAGACCTGCAGAGGTGGAGCTGGCTCGCGGGGAAGGGGCTGCAGTCTCCATGGGACGGGGGGAGCTGATGTCCAGCAGTCCTACCCCCACCCGAGCTGCCCCGCTCTACCGCGGACGAGAATCTGGGCGGCACGTCGGGTCTGCGCAAGGCTGGACACCCACGGCCCTTCTGGAACATCCAGGCAGGGACTCTTCCCGCGGAGGCCCCGGATCCTCGTGGGGGCCTGAGGACAACCTCCTGCGCTCGGGCCGACCCCTGCCCGGCCGGCTGCCAACGGGTCAGCCGCAGTTCCCCGCCCCCGCCACTCTCTCACCCCTGCACACGCCCCTCGCACATCCGTGCACACACACCAGTATACCTGCGACCTCCGCACACCCACCATGCACATCCGCGCAACGCACGCGCACACTCGGCCCCCCACCCGCCCCCCAGCTCCGCTCCACAAGGACAAATGTGCAAATGGCTCACAGGCGGCTCCAACGGGCAGCTGCAGCAAGATGCGGTCGCAGGACAAGGATGCGGAGGAAGGATGCGGTTCCAGACGCTTCTCAGCTGGGGCGCGGCGGGGGAGGGGCCGAGCCCCAAACCGAGGCTGCCGTTGTTGCCAGGGAGATGCAGGCTGGAGGAGGCGAGCACTGCATCTGCCGCCACCGCCCCGCCTCCCACGCGTGCCCGTAGGAGCTGCGCCGCCCCCCTCCCACGCGTGCCCGTAGGAGCTGCGCTGCCCCCCCCCAACCTGTCCCTGGCTTAGACACGCACACCGCATCCACCCACGGCACACATCTCACACACACACACCATTCACACGCTGCACACACATATACATACACCTCACACACTCACACCACCGCACTGCAGGCGGGGCGGGGAGGGGACAGACACCCTGGCCAGCATCCTCCCCTGGGGATGTCCAGGCTCCCAGACACCACCTTGTCGGGCGCGCAGTCTTGCCCCCTTTGGTCCGCTTGGTTCAGGCACAGCTGGGTTGGGCCCCCAACCGCCCAGAGGGCCTCCTCCTCACGGCTCAGCGTCCAAAGCCCCGACTGTCCGCGTTCGGAGGGCAAGCCTGTGGCTCCTGGTAGCCGCTGTGGCCCAGAGCCTGCACAGCGCCGGGCATAGAGCAGCCGCCGCGCCGGCGCGTTGTCCGAGTGAGCAGGTGAGCGGGGGCCATGGTCTCAGGACCCCGGGGCTCAGCCCAGCAGGGTCGGGGGCTCCACACCTGGGCTCACAGCTGGCCGAGGAGCGATGGCGCGGCCGTGTCACGCCTTTTTGCTGTTGACTAGTGCCCCGTGTTGCGGATGTGTCCCGTTTTATCTATTCAGTCGCCAGGCTCTGGACTGTTTGTCCCAGGTGTGTCTACTGTTGACAGCGTTGCTGCCAGCGTTCTTGGACTAGTGTTTGTGTGGACACAGGGCTTTCATTTCTCTTGGGCAGGTACTTAGGAGTGGAATTGCTGGGTCGTATGGTAGTTTACATGTAGTTTTTAAAGAAAATGTTTTAACTTTTTTCCAAAGTGGCTGCAGCATTTCATATTCCCATCAGTGGTGCAGAGGGGCTTGGCTTCACCCCCGCCCCGGACGCGTGTTACTGTCTCTCCCTTTTGCTGCAGCCGTCTGTATTCGCTCGCAAGGGCTGCCATAACTAAGTACCACAGACCGGGTGGCTTAAACAATAGGAATTATTTCCTTATGATTCTGGAGGTTGGAAGTCAGACATCAAGGTGTCGGCAGGGTTGGTTTCCTCTGGGCCTCTCTCCTTGCCTTATAGAGGCCCGCTTCTCCCTGTGTCTTCAGATGGCCTTTCCTCTGTGTGTATCTGTGTCCTAATCTCCTTTTCCTTTTTTTTTAAGCCTTTAAAAATTAATTAATTAATTAATTATTGGCTGCATTGGGTCTTTGTTGCTGCGTGTGGGCTTTCTCTAGTTGCAGAGAGCGGGGGCTACTCTTCGCTGCAGAGCACGGGCTCTAGGCACATGGGCTTCAGTAGTTGCGGCTCGCGGGCTCTAGAGCGCAGGCTCAGTAGTTGTGGAGCACGGGGTTAGTTGCTCCGTGGCATATGGGATCTTCCCGGACCAGGGCTCGAACCCATGTGCCCTGCATTGGCAGGCAGATTCTTAACCACCGCGCCACCAGGGAAGTCCCTAACCTCCTTTTCTTATAAGGACACTAGTCAGAATGGATTAAGGCCACCCATATGACTTCATTTTAACTTAATTATCTCTTTAAAGACCATATTTCCACATACTGTCACATGCTGAGGTCCTGAGGGTTAGGGCTTCTACGTATGAATTTTGGGAGGAAACAATTCTGCTCATAACGCTGACCTCATACCCACTAGTAGGATGAGTGGTATCTCACTGGTTTGAATCTGCATCCCTAATAACTAATGATGCTAATGTCCACAAAAAATAATCAGTAGTCCATCTAAAGAAGAAATACAGAATTTTATTCAAGGCAACCTGAGGGTTATAACTCAGAAAACTCTGAGGACTGTTCACCTTGCTAGAAGTTGAAGGCACAGCTCTATACATTTTCAAGACAAAGGATTGTTCATCAAAATGACCCTGACATTTTATGTAAAGTTCACCGAAAATACACACTCCAGCTCTACACGTATGAATCGAGTGCAGGTCACCACGACCCTAACGGAACTAGGAAAAGAAGGAAGGAGGAAAAAAGAAAAATGATCTTTTTGGTGAGGCAGAGATTCTTGCTCTTGAGGAGGGCCCAGGGCGGGGAGTATGGTCTGCTTAAATTTTCTTGTCTTGTCTTAAAAACATACATTTTATTCCATCATTAACTATACATCTCTTCGTGGGTTTCTTAGCCACCTGTATATCTTTGGTGAAATGTTTGTTTAAATGTTCTGAACATTTTTCAATTGGGTTGTTTGTCTTGTTGTTACTGAGTTGTTAAAACTCTTCATATATTCTGGATACAAGTCCTTCAGCAGGTCGAAGATTTGCAGTCTCCCCCAGTCTGTGACTTGTCTTTTCACTTTCTTGATAGTCTCTTTTGAAGCGCAAAAGCTTGTAGTTTTGATAAAGTCCAAGGAATCAATTTTCTCTTTTATGTGTCATGCTTTTGGTGTTGTGTTAAGAACTGACCCAAGGCCATGAATATTTTCTCATTTTTTCTTCCAGTGGTTTTGTAATTTTAACTTTTACATTTAAGCCTATGATGCATTTTGAGGTAGCTTGTCTGTACAATGTAAGTTATGGGTCTAAGTTATTATTAGTTTTTGCATATGGATATCCGGTTGTCTCAGCACCTTTTGTTAAAATCACTAATCTTTTCATGTTAAGTTGTCTTGACATCTTTGTCAAAAACCAGCTGTCCATACATATGTGGGTTTATTTCTGGACGCTTAATTCTGTTTCACTGATGTGTGTCTCAATCCTTATGCCTATAGTATGTCTTTTGCCACTGGGGCTTTGTGGCGTTTCGAAGTGGTGGAGTGTATCTGTTCTAATTTTGTCCTTTTAGAAACTGTTTTGGCTCTTCTGAGTCCTTCGCATTTTCATATAAACTTTAGGATCAACTTGTCTATTTCTACAGAGTTCTGCTAGAAATTTGATAGGAATTGCATCGAATCTATAGATTAATTCTGGGAGAATCACCATCTTGATGAAGACTTGAGTCTTCTAATCCATGAAGAAAGAATATCTCTCCATTTATTTAGATCTGTGATTTTTTCCTCAGCTCAAGTCTTGTGCTTCTTTTGTTAAATTTATTCCCAAGTATTTTATTACTTTCAGTGCTGCTATGAATGAAAAATTCTCCCTAATTTCATTTCAAATTGTTCATTTCTAGTATATAAAAACAATTGATTTTTGTATATTGATCTTATATCCTGAGATCTTACTAAACTCTTTCTAAGTATGGGATCATATCATCTGTAAATAAAGACAGTTATTTTTCCATTCCAATTCAAGCATGATCTTTTCTTTGTCCTGTCTTGTTGTGCAGGCTGGACTCTGCAGCACAATGTTGAACAGCAGGGTGAGCGTGGACGGTGACGTCTCCTCCCCATCTGAAGCTGAGAGTTGGTGGTCTTTCACTACTGAGTATGATCACCGCCGTAAGTTTTTCCGAACGCGCCCTTTTACCAGGTTTAGAAAGTTCCCTTCTACTTGTACTTTCTTGAAAGTTTTTTCTAAGTCATCAGTGGGTATTGGCTTCCTGAAAAAGAATTTCAGATTCTTTTTGTGTCTATTAAAATGATCATTTCTTTGTCTTTCATGTTATCTATATAGTATAGTACATTAATTAACTTTTTGAATATTAAACCAACATTGCATTCCTGGGATAAATTCTTTTCTATGTGTTGCTGGATTTCAGTGGTATTTTTAAAAATCTCATTAATAGCTTTTTAATATGATTTTAAAATATTAATTAATTTATTTTATTTGTTTATTTTTGGCCGCGCTGGGTCTTCCTTGCTGCGTGCATGCTTTCTCTAGTTGCAGCGAGCGGGGGCTACTCTTCGTTGCGGTGCGTGGGCTTCTCATTGCGGTGGCTTCTCTTGTTGTGGAGCACAGGCTCCAGGCACGTGGGCCTCCGTAACTGTGGCCCGCGGGCTCCAGCGCACAGGCTCAGTAGTTGTGGCGCACGGGCTTAGTTGCTCCGCGGCATGTGGGATCTTCCCGGACTGGGGCACGAACCGTGTCCCCAGCATTGGCAGGCGGACTCCCAACCACTGCGCCACCAGGGAAGCCCTCGCTGGGATTTTGTATTAAGGATTTTTGTGTCAATGTTCAGGAGGGATGTTGGTCTGCATATAGCTTTCTTTCCCCTGTGATGTCTTTGTCTACCTTTGGAGGCAGGAGGTGCTCTCACCTCCTCTGCAGGCTGTGAAAGGTTATTTTTGCTGTTATTCCTTCTCAAGCATCATCTGCAGGCCTCTGGTGTTTCTGATAAGAAGTCAGCTTTAATCGTTTTGCTGGTTCTCTGCACAGAAGGAGTAGTTTTTCTCTTGCTACTTTCAAGATTTCCTCTTTGTCTTTGGGTTTTAAAGTTTAACTGTGGGCTTCCCTGGTGGCACAGTGGTTAAGAATCTGCCTGCCAATGCAGGGGACGTCGTTTCAAGCCCTGGTCTGGGAAGATCCCACATTCCACAGAGCAACTAAGCTCATGCGCCACAACTACTGAGCCCACGTGCCACAACTACTGAAGCCCGCGTGCCTAGAGCCTGTGCTCAGCAACAAAGAGAAGCCACCGCAATGCGAAGCTCGCGCACAGCATCGAAGAGTAGCCCCCGCTGGCCGCAACTAGAGAAAGTCGGCACGCAGCAATGAAGACCCAGTGCAGCCAAAAATAAATAAATAAAATTAATTAATTAAAAAAAATAAAGTTTAGCGGTGATACATCTTTGTTTTTATCCTATTTGGGGCTCATTGAGCTTATTGGGTTCTGTAGATAAATGCTTTTCATCAAATTTGGAATATGGTTTTTGCCATTAGTTATTGAAATATTTTTTCTGTCCCTCTCTTTCCTCTACTTGCGGGACTCCATGTATGTGTGTGTATGGTGTGTGCCTGTGTGTGTGCATGTGTGTGGTGTGTGTGTGTGGTGTGCGTGCACGTGTGTGCTGTTGTCTCACAGGCTCTGGGCCACCAGGGAAGTCCTTGGGATGCTTTTCATTTTTCTTTTTTTTCTCTTCCTTCAGGTTGGATAATTTCTATTTATGTCTTTAAGTGTTGATCTAACTTAAAGGTATATACTTAAATATGTCTTTTATTAAGCCCTCTAGTAAATTTTTTATTTTAGTTATTGTTTTTCAATTCCAGAATTCCCATTTGATTCTTTTAAAAATGTCGTTTATTGAGATTTATTTATTTAAATCACTTTCATCATATTTTCCTTTAACTCTACACATGGCTTCCATTCATTTTTTGTTCTCTAAGTCCAATACCTAGGTCCACTAAGAACAGTTTCTATTACCTGCTTTTCTCCTGAATATTGGTCACACTTTTCCTGTTTCTTTGCCTGTCTTGTAATTTTTGGTTGAAAAATGCATATTTTAATTGGCTCATCATTTGTAACAAATATACTAACCAATGTCAGCTAATAGGAGGGGAAGTGGGGATGGGGAGAGGGTATTATGGGAGCTCTGATTTTCTGCTTAATTTTTCTCTAACCCTGAAATTTCTTATCA